TCCCACACTTTGCCGAGTGCTTTTTATCGGACACTCGACAAAGAGGCTGTTTACCGAGTGCCAGAGATAAAGCACTCGGCAAACAACTGACACTCGGCAAAGAGGTGGTTTGCCGAGTGCCGAGCACTCGGCAAACAATAACACTCGGCAAAACTGTCTTTGCCGAGTGTTATTCTCCTGACCCTCGGCAAAGGGCCGCCGCCGTTAACGGCTGGCAGCCGCCGTTAACCCTTTGCCGAGTGTCTTCTTCCGACACTCGACAAAGTGGTGATTTGCCGAGTGTTATTTTTTTGACACTTGGCAAAGCGGTTATTTGCCGAGTGTCATTCTCGACAAACCATATATTTTTTTTTACTTTTGACCTCCAAACTTTTTCTACAGTCCTCATACAATACCTAGTGCTCCATGTTCCAATGTGGCACATTTCTCAGACCTTTTCTATATTTCTTTAATTTATTTCATTTAATTGAATTTTCTTGGATAATTCAAATTATAACTGCTAGTCATTCGAATAATGAAAAAAATGAATGGAAAAAATGATATTCATGTTTTTTAGTATAATGTGAGGCCGTATCTAGGACCCGACCACCAATTTTGAACATCTTGTTCACGAAACATAACCACGAACTCACGGTCGAGTTGTTTTTAAATTCTATAAAAAGCAAACGAAGTCCGAAAATCATGAAACTTGTCAAGATGTCATGATATCATATGTGAAGGCTGTGATAAAAATTTGAGAAGGTTTCACGCAAGTTGTCATGTACGATGCTTGCAAACCGAAGAATCTCCGAAGAAGTTTCATGATTTCGTGAAGAGGCCGACAAGGTGGTAAGCTAAAAATTTGAGAAGGTTTCACGCAAGTTGTCACGTACGATGCTTGCAAACCGAAGAAGTTCTTGGAACGGGCATTTGGCATGGCTGCTAAAGGAGCGAGTAAAATTTGTTGTCCCTGCAGCAAATGTGCAAACAGGAAAAGACAAACGAAGAAGGTCATGGGGAACATCTTTGGAAGAATGGATTTACGGCAGACTATACCCAGTGGGTCTACCATGGTGAAGCCGATCGTATGAGAGAGGAGGTGGTGAGATCACGCGTTGAGGATTATGATGCTGATGCAGGGGTAGTAGACATGTTAAATGACTATCACGAGACACAGTTCGCGGAAGGACGTACGGAGGAGGAGCCAGAGGCAACCATAAAGGCGTTCTACGACATGTTTGCCACGACATAGAAACCCCTTCAGGCCAGACAAAGGTTTCTCAACTGGATGCCATTGGACGCATAATGGCGTTAAAGTCCCAGTATAGCCTGAGTCGAGATGCCTTCGATGGTATGTTGACAGTTATTGGTAGCCTGCTTCCGAAGGGCCACCTTCTGCCAAAGAGCATGCACGAGTCACAGAAACTCCTTCGTGCACTTAAGATGCCGTATGAGCAGATACATGCTTGCCCGAAGGGGTGCGTCCTATTTAGGAAAGAATATGTGGAAGCAAAGTACTGTCCAAAGTGTAAATCCTCTAGGTTCCTAAAGGTAGATTCTGGTGATGGCCAGAAGAGGCAGCTTGACATTCCCGTGACAATCCTACGGCACCTTCCGTTCATACCGAGGATCCAACGGCTATACATGACCGAGGAATCCACGAAACAGATGACATGGCACAAAAATGGCAAACGATACAATCCTGACAGGATGGTACATACATCCGATGGTGAAGCATGGACCCACTTTGATGGCATTCATCATGAGAAAGCTAAAGAGGCTCGTAATGTACGTGTTGCGCTGGCAACAGATGTGTTCAATCCTTATGGAATGATGGCTGCCCCATACACATGTTGGCCTATGTTTGTTATCCCCCTCAATCTCCCCCCGGCGTATGCTTTCAACCACAGAACGTATTCTTATCGTTGATAATTCCTGGACACCCGGGGAATAATATGGGTGTGTTCATGGAGCCTGTGATTGATGAATTGGTCCGTGCATGGGAGGAAGGGGTATGAACATACGACCGAGCTACAAAGAAAAACTTTAAAATGCATGTTTGGTACCACTACTCCCTGCATGACTTCCTGGCGTATAGGATATTCTACGCCTGGTGTGTTCACGGGAAGTTCCCATGCCTAGTATGCAAGGAAGGTCTAAGGTTCATTTGGTTACAGAAGGGTGGCAAGTATTCATCGTTCGACAAACATCGGCAATTCCTTCATCTTGACCATGCATTTAGGCGAGACATCAAGAACTTTACAAAAGGTGTCGTAGTGACAGACCATGCACCACCGATAATGACTGGTGCCGCGGTTCGTGAACATATAGATGGTCTCGTGGTCAATCCAGAAGGTGGTTTTGTGGGATATGGAGAGCAACATATGTGGACTCATAAGTCGGGCTTGACTCGGCTCCCCTATTTTGATGACCTTCTCCTTCTACACAACATTGATGTAATGCACATTGAAAAGAATATCGCCGAGGCACTTTGGGCAACAATCATGGACATTCCTGATAAGTCAAAGGACAACGTTAAGGCTAGAGTGGATCTGGCAATGTTATGCGATAGACCAAACCAACATATGAAGCCTCCTAGTCGCGGCAAGACATGGAGAAGGCCTAAGGCCGATTTTGTCTTGAGCAACCCCAAAGGAGGGAAGTACTAGAATGGATCCAGATGTTAATATTCCCTGATGGGTATGCAGCTAATCTGAGGAGGGGAGTGAACTTATCTACTATGCGAGTCTTAGGGATGAAGAGTCATGACTACCACATATGGATTGAGCGGCTTCTTCCGATGATGGTTTGAGGCTATGTCCCTGAGCATATCTAGCTAGTGCTAGCAGAGTTGAGCTATTTCTTTCGTTAGCTTTGTGCCAAGGAGTTATCTCGGACCGTGATTACTGACTTGGAAAGAATGGCACATGTGTTGCTCTGTAAGTTGGAGAAGATCTTTCCACCCGGCTTCTTCAATCCGATGCAGCATTTGATTTTGCACCTCCCGTATGAGGCATGAATGGGGGGCCCGTGCAGGGCCGTTGGTGCTATCCAATCGAGAGATGTCTAAAGGTTCTTTGAAAGAAATGTAGAAATAAATACAAAATCAAGGCTTCCATTGCAGAGGCATACATTCTGGAGGAGGTGGCGAACTTCACAACAACATACTATGGTGACAACCTCCCTAGCGTGCATAATCCACCCCCTCGTTACAATGCTGGCGAAAATAAATCGAACCTCATCTTTTTCCGAGGGCAACTCGGAAGCGCAAGTGCATCGACCCCCAAGAGCTTGAATCATGAACAATGGCACCATATCATGCTATACGGTTGACCAACCTTGACGGAGTGGCGCCGTACATGCAGTAAGTTCTCAACGAACTTGTTAAATACGCCGTCACTATTCTGCATCTAACCCCCTTGTTTCTCGTTAGTATAGGGAATTTCTTCATGAATTCTGGCATCAATCAAGGGATCCTACCCCACAGCAGGTAGATACCCTTCTTAGACAGGGTGCGAGAAATAGAATGCCCGATTTCATTTCTTGGTTCAAACGGAAGGTACATTTAGCTCGTACTTAGTTTGACATTCCAAGTTACTCGTACGTGTGAATAATATAACGATGTATCCTGCTTGAGCTTGCAGGGCCAGAGGGATGCGTCTATGCGTGCCAAGTTGAGACAGGTTGCCGATGGCTTTGCCTATAGGGTCAGGTCATTTTCCGGTTATGACGTGAATGGCTATCGCTTTCGCATAACAAGCTACGAGCAGAGTCGGCCCAATCGAAGAACCACAGAGCGCCGTTGACTCAAACACTCGGCAAAGGTGTCCACTTTGCCGAGTGCCACCGGCAAGACACTCGGCAAATAGGCGGCCTTTGCCGAGTGCCTGGCCCGTGGCACTCGTCAAATCTGTGATCTTTGCCGAGTGCAATGTCCTGTGCACTCGGCAAAGCATGTTCCCAGGCATGTTCCCAGGTCGTCACTTTGCCGAGTGTCATGGCCATTGCACTCGGCAAAGTGACTGAAAACAGTCTTTTTTATTTGTTTTTTACATTTCATCCAAACAAATAGAAGATATATATAACCAACATCACATATATATCATCAACAGCACAGATATCCAACACCACATATATATCACAAATGTCACATGTCTCACAATATATCACAAATAAGTTCACAAGTAATCCAAGTGCTCCATCATCTACAACCACAATTGCAAATAGAAGTACCATTAACAACCACAAGTATCATCACCTAGCTTCCTCATCCCACCGCTCACCATCTTTGTTCAATCACCTGCAATTAAAAAGAGTAAACCAATATGCACAGATAAACAAGAAGTACTTAGAAAGAGATGCAAAATAAACAAAACGTAATTACAAAATAACATAGTATTACATGGATTAGAAATAATCTTCATGATCGGGATTAGCTGGATCATAAGTCTCATCATCACTATCAATCATGTCGAAATAATCAACACTATCCGAATGAGCAATGTTGCCATTGTCATTGTCTAAATGTAATCGCTCAAGCATTTGTAAGTCATTCACATTTTGCACCTCATCTCCAGCGTCCTCTTCAATAACCGTTTCATTATCTACTTCCATTCCGATCGTTTCGGTTAAGTCTATCTCAAACCTCTCTTCTAGTCCCTCTTCTTAAAAGAACTCTCCGTCATATGTGTTTGGGTCTAAGTTGTAATCTTCATCGTTTGGGACAGGCACTTTACCGTGTGGCGATACCCTGTGCACAATATCCCAACCCTTAAGATGACTTTTGGTTCGACACGCATATGGGAGATAATAAACTTGCGTGGCCTGTTGGGCCATAATATAGACATCATCTCCTGGTAAGACGGAATCCTATCGAATTTCGACTAGCCCAAGATTAGAATATGTCCGTCTTGTTACTTCAGGATCAAACCAATGGCATTTGAATATGAGTAAAAAATGCATCAGCAAAACGCGGAGGGTCGACAGGTGGGGAGGGACTGAGTTCGTCGGGGTTCAGAGTTTCAGACCTGAACTGCAAGCAACCCCAGGAAGCATGGCTTGTCGAAAAGATGGGCCAGCACCAGATGCCTCTGATCGTGCTGTGCAAATATTCAAGAGAACTGCACTATTAGCATTAGCAGCTACCATACACACTCAGGATTCAGGAAACGAATGAATGAAATGAACACCAAAGAAAGAAAGGCTGTATACCGCGATGGTGTAGAGCTGGTAGAGCACGTCGTTCATCCCTCCGGTCTCGTCGTTGAGCGACGTCCAGTGGCGCTCGATGCTGTACCTCTGGATGACGTTCCTGACCCGTCCGGCGAAGTAGTCGGCCATGGCGACCACCATCCCCAGCGCCTTGCCGTTGCCGGGCACCACGTGCTGGTCGAGGAGGCCCTGCATGATCTGCAGGAAGCGCAGTATGCAGATGAGGTATTGCTCAGCACGACCGGCGATGCATGTGTCTGTGCAAAGGTAAAAAGTTGCAGAGTGGTCCGGGACTCCGGGGGTTGATCGACGGCGACGTGCCTTGTGGATGGTGTAGTAGGGCGCCCAGACGAACTCGATGGCCTCGAACCGGTCGAAGACCTCGGCGGGGAAGGCGGAGAGGTAGCCCGTTCCGGCGGCGCGCTGGCACTCGTGAAGCGCGTCCGCCACCGCCGCCATCTTGCCAGCGAACGTGGCGTTGTGCGTGCTCGCCCACATCTTGGCCATCCCGCTCAGGTAGTGCCCTGCGTGCACGCTCGGGTTCACTGTCTGCAACTCTGCATGTGCATGCGTGGGCCGATGTACAGCGGGAGGCGGGAGAGAGAGAGGGAGCGCGTACGCACGTACCGACGAAGTGGCCCCTGAGCTCGCGGCCGGGGCTCTCCCAGCCGCCGTAGGGCTCTCCCGGCGCCGACAGCCCCGCCTGGGAGCGGAAGCTCCAGACGAGGCGGTCAGGGTCCAGCAGCAGCAGGTACTCGAGGTTCGTTCGCTGCGCGCGCCCGTACACCGCGTCGTCGCCGTCGGGGTCGAGGCGCACGTCGTGCAGGGACACCTCCTCCAGGAACGGCGCGGCGACGACGCCACGGGCGCCTCCCAGCTGCCGGTAGAGCATCACCCACCAGTCGAACTCCTCTCGATCGGGATCCCCTGCCGCCGTGGCGGCGCCGGCGCTATGACCTCCACGTGGCGGCGGCGGCAATAGCATGTCGTCCATCCACTCGGCCTGCTGGTCGTGGAACATCTCGCGCCACCTCTCGGCGGCGCCCGGCGACGACGCCTGGAGCTGCGCCCGCACCGTGTGCGACGACGACAGCTCCGTCGGGCTGTTGGTGCACTCCTTGGCCGTCGTCACTACCGCCACTGCGCCCACCGCCACGAGCACCACCACCGCCCACGCCACACGCCGTGGCACCGTTCGCGTGCTCTTAAATTTGGCTCAATACGTTTATTTTTTCATCCGAAATAGTATCTTTCTCTCGTAAATTTCTCTAACATTCCTCCAAACCATCCACTGAGACAAGCGAACAGTCCCGCAACCAGCGACCTCGCTGGCCCGGCCCCCCTCAGTGACCACCACCGCCACTAACTAGGCTAACGATCGCAGCGACAGGCGTGCCGGCACTGCGTATATATGGCGCCCGTCCGAGACTGTGGTCTCTAGAGCCCACGGGCATCAAGCGGCGTACGTACGTGACGATGACGACGGCCGGGCATCGGAGACAGTGAGACACGCCGTACCGCGCGGAATGCCTCAACACGACACGAGGCACAAGCTAGAAGGCCGGGCCCGCTCACTCGGCGAGCGTGCACGGTGCACCTGCAGTCCTGCAGGCTTCTGCCGCTGGCCTGCTGCTACAGGCGCACGAGTGAGCGTTGCAGGGAGTACTTGCTAGCGCCTTGGCAGCACGAGTGAGCCTACATGTGAGCTGGCCTGCCTTTCCATTCCATGTGAGACCTTGTTTAGTCTCCTAAAGTTTACTCCATATCATATTGATGTTTGGACATATACATGGAGTATTAAATATAGACTAAAAAAATAACTAATTGCACAGATTACGACTAATTTGCAAGACGATTTTTAAGCCTAATTAGTCCATGATTTGACAATGTGGTGCTACAGTAAACATGTGCTAATGACGATTTAATTAGGCTTAATAAATTCGTCTCGCGGATTACTGAGGACTTCTGTAATTTGTTTATTATTACTATCCAAACACTCCCATGTGACACCCCGATGTAACACCCCTAAACTTTACATTATGGATTTAAACACCACCTGAGTCGGCAGCACGCACAAGCTTGCAACTCAACCACTGAGGAAAAGAAACTCCACCAGGTTAATAAAAATATATAAATCACATTTCTCTATTTTTATTGAAATTATTAAAGGGGAAACAGAGCTCCAACAAATTTTTTCTAATCATTTTATTTATTTATTTATTTATTTATTTTCTTAATCGCTCAAAAACTTTTGTCTCATCTTAAACAAAGGAGGGTGCTTGACACCGGAGTGAAAAGAACATGTCTAGAGGATGAACAACCCATGAAACTAATTATGGTACCCCCTCCCAGTCGGTTGTTTTCGGTTTTCTAGACAAAGTTTTTTAATTTGTTTGTTTAGTAGAACTATGTATTTATAAAACTCAAACAACATATAATTTATTAGAATGGTGGAATTATTTTTGGTTTGTCTCGATTAATATCATTTTTTTGAAATAAAAGGCAAGAGCACAACCATATCATGTTGGAAAAAAAATGATTACCGCAGTCCTCAATTGAAGTCGTATTATTCTTCACCTTTCTGAGAAGAGAAGGTCCAACATGATATGGTTTAGTAGGACTATGTGCGAGAGCTGGCCGGCCTTGCGGTTTCCTTTTCCACGCTGCGGGTTGCTGCCCTTTGTCACGTCACGCTGCGAGTGCGCCCCGTGAGCCTGGTGGCCTGATAGAGAAGGGAGCGGCGGGCTAGCTAGCTACCACTCCCTTTCTAAAAAAAAAATCAAAACTTTGGACTAGTTAATATTTTCTTAAATTTGACTAACTTTACCGAAATTACAATCAATATTTATTTATATCTTCAAATATTTTATTATGAAAACATATTTTATAATAAATCTAACGATACATATTTAATGTCACGAGTCTTTGTAATTTTTTATATATTTAGTTAAACTTAAAATCGTTTGACAATTTGATTCTTTGGAAAGTGGGAATTGTATTGTTTTTAAATGAATGGAGTAGTTGTGGACTGTAGACAACTAGACGATGCTCCGCTAGTCATCGATGCATCGTCTGTCAGACAAACAAGAAAAATGTAACGTTTCATCTCATATGGTACCCACTCTTTTGCCAAGCGCGCAAGCGCCACGGGATGCCGGTGTGGCGGCACAGACGATGTCGGTGCGACTCGCGTCAGGCGAGGGCACGATACTCGAGTGGATCATGCAACAGACATGTCAGTGAGTCTGTGACCAAGCCGTTAGCATAGACCTAACACCCCTCTTAGTGTGTGTTTGGAACGTAGGAATTAAAAACACGGGAATAGAAAAAAAAACACAGGAATATGGTGAGTGTGTAGTGGTAAAACAGAGGAAATAAAAAACACGGAAAATAACTAGAAGGGGTGTTTGGAACGCAGGAACCTATAACACAGGAAAAACGCAGGAAGTAACATTATTTTTTTGTTTCTCTTCTCTTGCTGTCTCGGTCTTCATGAATCCATTGGTTTGGACTGGATGTTTTGTTTCCCGTGAAATGAATGGAGGTAGGAAACTTTCCTTTGTTTTACTGTTAAAGTTCCCTTCATTCCAAATAGCATTCTCAGGAAACTTTCCTCTGTTTTTGTTTCCTCTAATTTTCCTATGAAAATACTCAATTCCAAACAGGCCCTTAAGACCGGACATAATTAATCGAAACTTAAACGATGCAAAAGAACCAAAATTAAATCCAAAATAACTACAATAAAAAAAATCAGTTCCATGTTTATTTCCAGACAAGAAGGAACCGAACTTTCTTTGTTATTTAGGCTCGTATACTTGGTTAACCGAATTATCTGAAAGAACTGAATTACATGAATTGTACTTCACTTATTTGCATTTTGTAATATTATGTTTGGTTTATGTCTGATGTCTCACATTTAAATTGTTGTGTATTTGTGTTATTATATTGTTATAGTTCCCTTATCAATTATTATTATCTAAAGTAAAAGAAGTGTTGCTCAAATTTGCTTTAGAATCTACACATTTTTTGTGGCCTTAACTGCTCTAAAAAAGGTTTGGCTAGTTTGGTTAGAACTGAAGCCAAACAGAAACAAACACGAAATACCTAGTTGCCAGAATTTCTCAGAACTGATCGATCCATGTTCCCAAAATAATTCCATTGCTCTTGTGGATTGATTTCCTTGATCCTATTAAATTTGACAATTATTAAGGCATTGCTAATGCTAGAAAAAATGATATTTAAGCATGAGTCGATTACTGCCGGCATAGGCGAACTCCGGGGGGAACTCCGGGGCCAATCGCGCACACGCTGAGGTCGCCGTCGAGGGTCCCTAGGAAGTTGGTCACACCCGGGGAGTCGAAGAGCAAGGCAAGATGGTGGACGATGAACAGGGCAAGAAGAGGAAGAGGAAGGTTCCATCAGTGAAGTTGGAGTGTTCTATATGCACAGAGGAGCACTACACCAACAAATGTCCAATGCTGCGAGGCCCCAAACTATCGGTCGCTTTCTGTGGCGCCGCTGAGGATGGGATGGGTTTCTTCCAAATTCAGGCTGCAAGGAACAATCACATTGTGGACACTATTTAGTCGTCAGCTGCAGCCTTCATCACTGTTGAAGCGGGAGAAGTTTCTGCTCAGCTACTTCAGGCTGAACTGGCGAGGATTATCCCAGTTCGTTGGGTATGGGAGGTGCAGCAGCTAGAGGCAAAATCTTTTGTTGTCCCGTTTCCAAGCAAGGAAGAACTTGATCGCATGATAGCAATTGGTACCTTCACCACAAAGAACAAGGAAGGCACTATCGCATTTGCTGAGTATGTGGATGATGTCCAACCCATTAAAATACTGGACCAAGTATGGGTGACAGTCACTAAGGTGCCCAGGGTACTTCTTTCTTTTCTTCCTTTGTGGGCAGTAGGGACCATTATTGGGGCTACACAAAAGGTGGATATGATACACCTTCGGGCGACTGGTCGGGTTCAGTATCCGAGTGGTACATTTATGATGTTAAAAGATCCCGAAGTTTCTTTGATGTGTGTGTTGGCACTGGCATTTACCGCCTGTATTTTAAGGCCGATGAAGCTGTACAGATTTATCCAGTTGATCCGACGGATGATGATCTGTTGGGAGATAGTGATAAGGAGCCGGAAGGGAGCGACCGTGAGATGGAAGATGAGGAAGCTCATAATCTCCAACACCCCCAGAATAATACAAAAGCTTCTGACAAATCTTCAGCACCTCCACAGAATTTGCCCCCTCAGAAGCAAGCTGCTTTGGTAGAAGAGGCCCTGGATCTAACATGCACGCATCTCATTAATGAGATCAGTATCAGAGTCATGCTAGAGTCAGAAGACGGTGATATGAGGAAGACTTATTCTCCACTTCTGACAAATCTTCAGCACCTCCACAGAATTTGCCCCCTCAGAAGCAAGCTGCTTTGGTAGAAGAGGCCCTGGATCTAACATGCACGCATCTCATTAATGAGATCAGTATCAGAGTCATGCTAGAGTCGGGAAGGCGGTGATATGAGGAAGACTTATTCTCCTCGGCGGTGAAGAATTGGTGATTATAATAAGCTTGTTGATTCACCTAACAGAATCAACCCTTCTTCTGTTTTTTTGTCATCGCCGACGACGTCGACTGATCATGCTGAGTTGGGGGGCTCTACATCGCCTACTGCCCCCCTTCTCGCGCTGGAGTGCGGCGTGGCCGCACCGACCTTGGGTACCTCACTGCCGGGCTATCCTAGCCCGACGGTGGATCCACCGCAACATGAGCTCTCTACCACCATGACGGACGAGGCTGTTGGGGGGAGTGGGAGTGGGGGTGCTTCATCAACCGAACCCATATGCCTCCTCCCCTACACTACCACACCACCTCCGGAGCTGCCAGTGGCCGCGCAGGGTGATGGCGAGGGCAGTGTGCCACCCTCAGCCACTCCCCCGCGCCGGCCATTGCTGAGGACCACGATGACATCATGGGTGGCGAGGCCCTGTGCCGCCCGCACGTGTCTCCCTTGCCTACA